CTCGGACTGAACGCTCTCTCCTCCACATCATGAGTAGACACGCCCCTTTCTGCTGATTGGCTACAAGTTTGTTTTGCTACTCGGCCCGAATCAGTTTTCTAAAGTGTTTTTGAAAAATCGCTTACCCCACCTTTAATGGCATGCAGGAAAAAAGTCAGAATTTCAGATATAAACGCAGAATTGTGAGATGAAAACTTTTTTTCTTTAAACTTGTGAGTTTCTCTCACAATTTTCTCAGAATAACATAAGTCCAAATTGTGAGATAAAAAGTTGCAATTATCTTTTTGATTTTTTCTGTTATGTGGCAGAAACAGACTTCCATACAAAGCTGAATTTTCAGCATCATTACTCCAGTCTTCAGTGTCACATGATCCTTCAGAAATCATTCTTATTGCTGAATTGGTGCTCAAGTAACATTACATATTATCAATTGCACTGCAAAATATTTTGTGGAAACCATGCTACATTTTTTTTGTATTATTTCATGAATTCGAAGTTTGAAAGGAGAGTCTTTATTTGAAATTTAAATCTTTTATAACATAAATGATTTTTATCTTTGCTGAAAGTATTAATTTCAAAAACAAAAAAATAATACTGATCCCAAAATTTTGAATGGCATTATATTTCTATGCCTGATGTGAATGATACGAGGCATTTGTGTATGTGTTTTTCAGTTATGAGGTGATGAGATGGTGTTGGAGTGCTGACCCTCTGAAGAGACCAACCTTCAAGAAACTGGTGGAAAGGACTGAACTCCTGCTGTCGGAGACCACCAAACACGTACGTTTCGGCTCAGCTCAGATCAAAAAATGCTTGCATTGAACCAGTTTCTTCAGTTACTACAGATTTGTAATTGTCTTGCAGGATTACTTGAATCTCAGCACTAGCGGCAGCTGTGAGGTGTTTGTTCCTCCAGACCTGCAGAGGGCACAAAGGCTGAGTTCTGTGGGCAGCTCGACAGCCTCAACTCAACCCCTCCTGCAGGCAACGAATGATGTTTTTCTGGAACATCAGAGCATATAAACACCGTCTCGTTCTTTGTTTTGCCTCAAAATCATTATCTCAATATGTTTGACCTAAAAGCCTTATCTTCCATTTAAGTTTTAACTTTAACTGTGGCATTTAAGGGCATCTCCTGCTCTCTGTTTGGCTCTCAATGCAACTCCATTAGCCTTGTCTTCCATTATATTTCAGATTACTCAAGATACAGCATGTCCAGCCATGTAACTGTTAAAGTATTTTTCTAAATGCAGCTGGGCTCCATTTTATGGTTTTGATCTACATGGTATTTTGAGTGCATGAGCAGCTACCATGGTCAGGCAAGCATTTAGATATAGAACCTAATGTTACCTCATCAGATAAATGACCAGCTCTACTGATGACATCATTGTGTAGTGACTCTGTGATGATGTCGTGTATCTTTTGTCTTTGACCGGGTGAACAACTGCAAGTACATCTTGACCGAACAGTAAGTGGTAATGATACTGAACCCAAGGCGAGTCCTTTTTAATGCGTGACTATCTGAAGCACTTAATACCAATAAATGAAGGTTCTTGTTCATGCATCTGTACTGTTTTCAGCATGTGATTACTCTCAAGTGAATGTTATAATGCATTATTGTATCTATGAGATCCCCATTTCAACTTTAAGTTGTACTTACTGGTATAACGGTCATATTTACTACCAATGGAAAAAAAACCTAGGATGTGTTTACATTGTTTTTTTTGGCAATTTTGTTTGAATTTGGAATTGAACATTTGAGCGGTTGAATATGTATATACACAAGTAAAACGTATGTTGCTGTGCAATGAGATAATCATATTTGGATTGTACATTGTTTCTTGTAATAACTGACTAGGTTCCATTCTTTAAATGTGGCTATCTTGGCTACATTAGCTGGCATAAAACATAAGATTTTGTTCTCTAAGCATGCTTAAAAGATGATAAACATATCAGACATCTGCTATTAACAAGCTAATTATTCCAGTAGATATCCAAAGTTTATACTAAGTTATTCCAAAATGAATCCAGCCAACTAAACCATGTTTGAAGGATGGAATGTTGGTCTCAAAAAGAATGTTTTTGAATGTTGACAGACAAATAACTGCTATGAGATTCGACTCTGTAAATATCTGATGTGTCAGCTATTTTTTCAACTTTTAGAGTGTTATGTCAGAAGAAAAAGGCCAGTAGGGAATGATGTGACTGTTTTTATATGGAATAAAAATGAAAATAAAAAATCTAAAGTGTAAAGGATCTATTGTATGAATTGTTTGTGCAATTCCTTAAAAGCTATGCAATGTTTTGATAATAAAATCAATGGCATTTGTTTCAATATCCCGCTTCTAATTTGGACCATCTGAACTAGCTCAACCAATGGCGTAAGTTTTGGATGGGACTATCTGTTTGTCTGGCCAATGACAGACAACAGGAGCGTTCAGAAACCGGTTTGTAAACGTCCTTATTTTGGCAATTCCATTTAGTAATGTAATCAGCAAAATACGTCACCTTATAAATAAAACAAACTCTTGCAACTCTTGAAGCAGACATTTTAGTAGAGAATGTGAATAACATGGTTTGCTTTGTTTCAAGATTGAATATTGTAGAGAGAAAATGATTGGTTTTTGGTAAACTGACAGAGGATAGTTGCTACAAATTAACACTGAAGGTAATATGATTTGCAAGCAGTTCTTTGCGGTAACAAGGTTTTGTACTGAAGTGCACAGCAATTCAATATGAACAAAATGAACACATTTTATGGTTAAACACCTTAAGACTTGTTTATTTTACTTCTTTGATGATTCATTATTTTATCATTATTCACTCAACTCACTGATTTTCATCAGGCCAAACACTAATCAAATTTCTGGGGCTACAACCAAATAACCATCATATTCTGAAAGTGCACAATCTTTTGGTTGCATACAGCAAAAAAAAAAAAAATTTAAATTGGGATACAGAATGTTAAAATGTTGAGGGTCCTAATCAGTTCAGTTCTCTCTTCAACCTGTCAGCAGCTTTTTTTGGGAGGAAATTTTAAAGTAAATTTTGATTGCACACACTATGAAAAACATTGGTTCAGTAACAACAACACAATTGAGGGTTTCAGTGCACAGTAAAATCTTATGAAACGCACAACGCAACACTATGAATAGGGAAAGGTGGGCATCTACTTTATGGGAATCTCAACTTTTGGAATTCCAAAAGTCAACAATATCAAAATCTTTTTCAGTTTCCATATACCTTTTAGCTCTAACTCGTCTTTTAACAGTCTTACCGGTCTATACACAGCAATACTGTTTAACAAGGAAGTCTTTTGCCATATGAAAATAAAATTGCTTTGAATACTTCATATATAAAACCATTTCTGAGGTATATAGCCAACAAGCCAATGGGGAAACATCTAGAATGCTTAGATACTGCAACGCAAGAACTGATTGGTCATCGCTGGGGTTAATACACACAGTAACAACCTACACAGCGATACTGGAAGAGTCACAAACTGTTATTGATATAATAGCTTGCACTTTAAATTCTCTCTCTCTCTCTCTCACACACACACACACACACACACACACACACTTAAAAGGAAGATCACTCTTAACTTTAAGACTCTACATCTGCACAATAACCCTGCTTCGGTTTGAATTACAACTTTGGAAGTCAAACTAGGAAGAGGACGATATAATCATTATTTTCCTGAAAATGGGATTTAAAAGATCCACAGTACTCCAGACCGTCCTCAGTCACACGTATAGAAATGCTGCGCCCTGGATGTGGCTTCTTGCATAGCTCCCAAAACTATGAGGGAGAACAAAGCATTTATGAATGAGGATTTGAAAGCTTATTCAAGGCGTGTCATTCTCGTCTGAGAAATACACGTACCGTCCATGCACACACACACACAAACTAACTTAAAAGACCATTATGAGAAGGAAGGACTATTTTAGTGTGTATGAACACAATAAGTGCTAAAAGTAAGGGGAAAGGTGCACAAAAACTTTTTAGTGGACTACTATGACTAAAAAGCAAATTAACATTCAACAAAAATTGGAAGTAGATAGTTTTTAAACAAAGTAGCTTAAATTTGCTACTTAAAAACTATTCAATTTGATTCTTCTGTATCAAATGTCTGCGATAATTAGAAATAAACTTAAAGTGGGCGTTTTTTTTTGTACGTCAGAGACTAGGGGTATAATAGTTTCCCAAAAAACTAGTGCCTCAGAAAAACCTCCAGAACAAACTATGACGCACACTAACAATACGTGACGAGACCATTGTCAGGTAAGGGTTAAACATAGAAAGCATCACTATACGCACAATATAAAAACGTTCAAATTAAAATAATACTCAATGTAAATCATAAAACTGGAATTACAAATGAAAGTTTACACTTTTCATGCAGCATATAAAATATTCAGTATCTCGCTTTGTTCCTTTACGGTTGTGTTTTTACACGGTATAGTACACGAGACTGTACAGAAAAACACGGTTCTTTGGACTGTTTACAGTGAAAGACTGAGAACAGGGTTTTCTGTTTGGCAAAGACCATGCAAAAGCTAGCAATCCTATGCTCTCTGTTGTTGAAATAAATAATGAGTTTGGCAACCACCTGTTGGTTCGGTGAAAGGCGACGCACGGTTGCCACAGCGTCCATCTGGTGGTGTTGTGTTCCATGCAGCTGCCATGTTGAGGGAGTTCCTTGTCATAAAAGCTTCTAAGATGCTGCCAGGAAGAGCTGTTTTAGCATAGCGCTTTCAAATTGTATACAGCACAAATAAAATCCTAGAAGCGAATATGTGAGATGGCTCCTCCATCTAATTGGCCGTTGTGTTCATCCCTGTTACTGAGATTGGGCACTAGTGCTGTCCGTCTGAAGAGAGGGGGTTGTTTTCTGCTGTTTTTGAGTCTGTGGTTTCAGTTGCTGCTGCTGTTGTGATGGAGGAAATGTACCTTGCTGCTGAATAGGGAAAGCCTGCAGGATCAGTTGTGTGGACTGGTTGCCATGGAGAAGGTGTGTGCTCTGACAAATACATAGCAGAAAATCAGATACAAGTCAAACACTTTTTATTTAAAAATTAAACATGACTGAAAAAAATGAATTGAAGTTTTACATGGTGTCTAAATGGACATTAGTTTGTTAGGATCAGTGATTCTCAACCAGGGGCCCCCAGTAAGTCTTACAATTATTTGTTTGTTTCTTTATAATTTAGAGCTATGCCAGCTACCACGGTGAGGAAAAAAATAGAATTAATAAAAACATTCATATACATACATTTACACACACATATAATTATTATTGGAATAATAATTAATAATTGTCTTATGCTCACCATGTATAAAAGTAATTTGTGAAATATTATTAAAATGTAAAATGCCATTTTTTTTATTTTAACATTTTAAACTAATTTATTCCTGTGACGCTGAATTTTCAGCATCATTACTCCAGTCTTCAGTGTCACATGATCATACAGAAATCATTTGAATATACTGATTTGCTGCTCAATTATTATCAATTAATACTGGTGATCATTTATTAATAATAGTTATTTTATTATCAATGTTGAAAAGCTTTTTTTCAGGATTCTTTAATGAATAGAAATGTGAAAATAACAGCATTTATTTGAAATGGAATGTAACCTTATGTCTTTACTGTCTTTGATACATTTTTTACGTCTCTGCAGAATAAAAGTATTGATTTCTTTGATACTGAGATATATATTACATTATAAAATGTTCCGAAACGTAACAATAAAAAATTATATACAACATTAAATTATTTGTTTTTTATATAATTTATATAACATTATATTTTTGAGATTATTTCTTTTTATTACAATAGAAGTTAAAATGGAATTAGATAGAAGGGTCTTTGAATGGGAGAAATACTGTCTTGGACAGGGGGGGCAGGGGCCGGGGGCATAGAGCCAAAAAGGCTGAGAAGCACTGGTTTAGATGGATTATCAGCTGACAGTACGGAGTTTGACCCAGTATCTTCTTGACCTTCTTGGTCAACTTCCTTAAGGCTTGTCAAGTAGACTATGAAGACTATGTAGAATGTCAGGTGGTGATGCATACCAATGCATACCAAAGTGGTGATCACTGAATCACAGTTCTGAATAGACTCAAAATGAAACTATGTGCATGCTTTGTTACCTGTAAAAATGGTTGCTGCTGCATCGCCCCCTGCTGTTGACTCGTATGTAATGTGGCAGCTTGAGCCTGTTGTTCTGCAGGCGCTGTTGACTGAGTCTGCAGTGCTATGGTCTGTGTCTGACCTTGTTGCTGTGGAAACGGGCTGTAAGCGGTCACCACCTGACCCATAAACATTGTTGTGGGTACCATGACAGCACCACACGCCATCGGAGCCGTCACAATCTTAGTGACCAACTGCTGTCCGGCCGGAAACCTGAGAGTGACAGAGCAAGACAATGAAAAAAATATTTAAGTCATTAATTAATAATAATAATAATATTGTAGAAGGTGTCCTGGGAAAGAGAGATGAGGAAAAAGACATGTACCTGTTTATTGCATTGCCCTCATTGATTTTTGGTGCCAGACTGCTGGGTATCTGCACAACACTGGCATTGGCAGGCTGGCTGATCATCATGGTATTATATACAGGCTGAGGAAAAAGAATGAGAGAGAGAGAGAGACAAAATGATGTCATTCATTTAGATGATGTCACCATATGAAGTGGAGAACAAGACATTATGTCATTGTTAATGGGCTTTAAAAAAAACCTTCTAGACAATACACAACTAAAGGTACTGGTTATCTGCAGTCAATTCTGTAATGTTAACAACTGTCAATCAAGCTCTGTTTTAAAACTAACTGCAATAGATTTGATTTAAAAATCATATAATTAATGTTATATATGTATATACACTACCGTACAAAAGTTGGGGGTCAGTATGACTTTTTTTAAAGTAATAATTTTATTCACCTGATCAAAAATGACAATAAATATTTTCAAATTTCAAAAGATTTCCATTTCAAATAAATGCTGTTCTTTTTAACTTTCTATTCATCAAAGAATCCAGAAAAAATGCATCAGTTTCCACAAAAATATTAAGCAGCACAACTGTTTTTAACATTGATAATAATAAGAAATGTTTCTTGAGCAGCAAAACAGCATATTAGAATGATTTCTGAAGGATCATGTGACACTGAAGACTACAGTAAAATTCAGCTTACTGTAAATTCAGCTTAGCCATCACAGGAATGAATTATATATTAGAATATAATCAAACAGAAAACTGTCATTTTAAATTGTAATAATATTTCCCAATATTACTGCTTTTAATTAAATAAATGCAACCATGGTGAGCATAAGAGACTTCTTTCAGAAACTTTTACCAACCTCAAACCTTTGAATGGTAGTACACATATCCTATACATTTTAAAGAAAGACTTGAATTGACTAAAACAGAAAAACTGAACTGTGACCAAAATTCATATTTCAAGAATTAAAATCAAATGGTTGTCAGAGCAAATATTTACACCCCTAACAAATCCAGTCTTCAGTCGCATGATTCTTTAGAAATCATTCTAGCGTGCTGATTTGGTGCTCAAATTTTCTTTGATACACAAATCTTTTATTTGATACATTGTTTTCAGGATGCTTTGATGAATACAAAGTTAAAAAACAACATTTATTTCAAATGTAAATCTTTAGTGAATGTCTTAAATGTGATTTTTGATTCATTTAATGCATTCTTGCTGAATAAAAGTATTCATTTCTTTAAAAAACAAACAAACCTTAATTCATGTTTTTATAAAATAAATTTAATTTATCACAAATGAGACCCACATGAATCTGTTAATCATTCAGTCATAGTTAACCACCAATACTGACAACCTTACAATGATAAATGGACCTGGTCATTTTCACAGCTGTGCTGTTGAAACGTAATCACAGTCTCCTTTAGATTGACCATTTAACAGCATGTCCATTATACCACATCAGTGAACTATTTCTGAGAGGTAACTGTCTCAGAAGCATCTCACCTTGTCTCCGGTCAGCTCAGGGGGAGATTCTTCTATACCCATCTCTCTCCTCTGCTCTGCTCGCACCTCGGCGTAACTAGAGACAAAAAGAATTAAAAAAAAAAAGCATAATTGAAGTCACCATTTGTCTCTTTCTGTTAGGTGTAGTTGTGCCTCTGTGTACCTCACAACGGTGTGCGTGCACACGATAAACTCTGGTCGCGAGTTCCACTGGTGATAGGTGATGTAGTAGTTAGTCTGGAGCCAAATCCACTGCTGCCCTTTAGTTAAAAAGCGATAATAGCAAGATTTCCCTTTTCCAAACTGCATTACTACAAGGAGACCGAGAATATGAGAGACATATGAAGAATATGGCGCCAAATGAAAGTTTCAAAAATATGTTTGTTTGTTTTAAACTCACAATGCTCATGGCATTTGGCCAGTAAATGCAAGTCGTCTACATGATAATAGTCATAGCCTGACGTTCCCAACACCTCAAAGGGCATATAGCCAATGATAGGAGGTGCTCTGTAATACAACAACACACAGACATCTAATTGAATGAAAACTGGACGATAAGTTACAAACACAGAGAAAGTGATACTGTCAGTATGTATGAAAACCTGTGATCTAATAAGAGGAACTTCCACTCCAGACTATGTCGAGACGTGAATTCTTTGTTGGGCTCCTCCACCATGCACATCTCCTGTACACAATCAATAACAACAAACAGGTCAATATCAGAATGTTTATATCAGTAATGCTTTGTTATGATGCTTGCCCATGGCTGTCTGCTTTCAGAGAGAGCATTTGTAACGCAGATCTATTTTCTGATTGATTATCAGCTTACTTTGATGAATTGGGGTTTGGCGAGCCTCACAGTCGCAATAAAGCAGACTTTATCGTCGAAGGCTGGCTGCAACGAGTGCTGCAAAATTCCCTCAAGGCCATTTCGGGTTGCAAGAGGCACTGGGAGAGCATTCAAAGCGGAGATTTGTGTTAAAAGAGATTGGCAGTACACACATTGTGCTTTGGGCAGTAACAAATGCAGTTAACATATAGTCGAGTAGTCAGTCAGTCTAAATCGAGAGGAAAAACAAACACTCACTGTTGATGAGTGACTTAAAGTTGCCAATAAACTTGACATATTCATACACAGGCGGTTTCTTGGGATCCACAGAACCTCTGAGTATATGACAACAAAACTCCAACTGGCTCTTGGCTAAGACAGACAAACAACAACAAAGAACATTACAATAAAAATTTAAGTCATTCTTATACAGTGAAAATATGCTGAGGCAGCACACATTTGCACAGAGTAATCTTTTACCATCTCAGTGGGAAGCAGGACAGGACTATAGACCGATAAAGCTTTCATTCTTTTACCAATATTCACTCTATATCTTCGTATTCATTGATTTGCTCTAAAATAACTTAAAGGGGTCATATGATGGGATTTCAATTTTTCCTTTCTCTTTGGAGTGTTACAAGCTCTTGGTGCATAAAGAAGATCTGTAAAGTTGCAAAGACTAAAGTCTCAAATCCAAAGAGATATTCTTTATAAAATTTAAGAGTCAACCACGCCTACCTAAAACGGCTCGTTCTAACACGCCCCCACATACCTACGTCACTATGTGGGAAGATTATTACTTGATAAGTCTTGATATTTACTTTGAAAGCTGAATCTAGCGATTATGGTAAGGGGCGTTACATTTCTGACGCGTGCTTGTGGTGTTCGGCCAATCACAATGCACTGGGTCAGCTGGCCAATCAGAGCAGACTGCGCTTGTCAAAGGAGGGGGCTTTGTTGAAAACGACGTGTTTGAGAGAGGCGGGGCATAGAGGACCTACAATAATGTACAGTATTTGAAAAATAATGTGTTTTTTGAACATATTCTGTTACACCAAATACACAAAATAATGATCTTTAAAATAGAATCCCCCTTAAAAGGTGATTTTTTTTTAAATTAAATGAACCATAATTTCAACCAAACAACAACTGTTGCCAAAATGTTTAAAAGTATGACAAAGTAAATTCTACTAATACATAAGTAAAAAAATAAAGAAGTAAAAATACAAAACACAAGGAAGAATGTTAATTATTTTACAAATGTAATATACACCGATTCTTTTTTTTAATTAACTAAAACATAAAAATAGATTTCTTGAATTGAAATAAAGCTTAAATAAAATATACATTTATCAAAAACAAATAAAAATGAGAAATGTTGCCTTTGCAAACAGAAAAATTCATAAAATTACTAAACATAAAAAAAAGAAAAATAATTTGAAAAAATATGAAAGAGAAAGCCGAAAATATAAATATGTAACACGAACACAAATATAAAATAGAATACAAAAATAAATATGGTACAAGGAAATCAGTCAAACTTCTAATGCTCTTTTTGTTGCTGAAGTGTAGATGAGGAATGTAGTTAAAACATGTTTTAATGCTCTCATACATGAAAGTCAAGAAAGGATCACACAACTAGTCTTAGACAACTTAACAACCAAATAAACAAATATTGGCCATATGGAGAGTGCAATGCAATATTCACAATGTTGCTTAGTTATCGTCATGAATGCCTGGTATATTGCCCAGCCCTATTGAGCAGTGAAAAAATACCACAGGAGAACAGATATGTGGTAGGGGGTTGAGGTTGGACACTCACATTTGAGGTAATCAGAGTTGAGGGTTTCAATGTCTGGGTGTGACGACAGCGCTTTATACACTTCTTCATGCTCCCCCAATGGAAGAAAGTTCAAAAGGTTCTGATCCACCAGGTCCGACTGAAACAAACATGTTTATATATGAACATATGACAGCTATAAAATGTAACAATTCCAAGACCAAAAGAAATGTTTAAATAGACTACAAACGATCTGCCAACTAAACACACATCCTCTCTCACTTACAGGCAGATGCTCAAGTAGGGAGGTTACGCTTTCTGAGATGTAAATGATGTTGCCGTCTGTCAGCATCACTATGAAGAACCCATCCAGCGCCTTAAAAACACACAAACACATTACTAAAACAGCTCCAATCCATGAGCTGAAAATGCAGAAGTGGTGGGTGAAAAATGAAAGAACATTAAACATGAATGAGGATGCACATGTTTTTTATTAGTGGAAACATCTTTCACAACAGGAAGAAACAGAAAGAGAAAAACAAATACAAACACTCATATTGCCCAAAGCAGAATCTTACCTCTAGCATCAGCTGTGTAAACTCCTCATTGCTAAGAAACGGTGGTTTCCAATCCTGTTTGATCTCACTTGACTCAGACTGTGCAGCAATTTCTGCATTTGAACACAAACAATTCACTGTAAGCAGCTTTCTAGGATCTGCAGGTTTTAGTTGCTTAGAGACTACACATCCTTTAAAAAGTTTTGGGTCGGTAAAACATTACCTCTAAAAAAGTTTCTTTGCTCATCAAGGTTGCACTTATTTGATGAAAAAGACAGTAAAAACAGTAATATTGTGAAATATTATTACAATTTAAAAGAATTGTTTCCAGTTTCAATAGATTTTAAAATAAACCGTGGGTTGCGAAAGTATTCATTACCCTTTCATTTTTTTCCACATTTTATGTTGCAGCCCTATGGTAAACTGCTTTAAATTACTACAAACTACATTTCATACACTGCAATGACAAAGCAAAAAA